TAGAAACAGAGCTATCAAACTAATTCACTTTTCCCAAAACTGTCATATATAAATCCAAGCAAATACAATATTAAGCTGTGTCATGTGGTTTTGCTTGTTAGTCATGGGGCTTCCCAGATACAAAGAGAAATGAAGCTCTTCTCTCCCCCTCCTCCACAGACAACAGGACACTGACACCCACTACTCACTGCCTGCCAGCTTCCTCTTGTGAATCTGGCCCTAAGTCCTCACAGGGGATCCAGCCAGGCTCCGGCTCTCCCAGGACTGCTCAGAAAGCCTCCCTTCAGTGGCAGTATGCTAATTCTTGAGGTAGTACACTGTGCCTTCAGAAAGTTCCAGTGGCTAGAAAAAAATTAGCTGCATTAAGCTAGAGATTCTTTAGAATTTGCAAATCAGAGTTACAGATTCCAAATGAGTACAATTTGATTGTGTTTGAGGCGAGAATACAGTTTGGTCAGAATCAGTGTGTTGTTTCACTTGCTCACTTTCTAAATAACTGATAGCCAGAACCACGCTTATGTAAGGTCCTCTCACTAAGGAGATTTGTCTTCTCTTGACATGAAAGCAGACTGGATTTTATCTTGACTGCCTTTCATAATAAATCTTTGAGGGATATTCAGAATGGACCTTTCATACTATAAGTAATCTTTCCCACTTCCCCTAGTAATTTCAGAGTGGGTCAGAGCTAGGTGGATAGTACAGGGCCATGGTTCCTCAGGGTCCACCTGTAAACTACAACTAGAGCACCCTTTGCATGGGGAGCCAATTTCTGTCTTTGCAAGAGTCCACCACCCTACAGATCATGCCCCGTAGCAGAACCTATCCCCGTTTCAGGAAATGGCAAGAGGAGCCACCGTGTTTGCAGTGACCAAAGCCCTGCATGAGGAACAGAGCAGCCTGCCTCCTGCATCCCCTTGGGAACTTGCCTGGAGTGAATCCCAGGCTCCGTCCCTGGTCCTGGGAACAACAGGACATCACACAATGTTCTACTCAGAGGCCAGCGGCTTCCCTTCCCTCTCCTACCACAGAAAAGAGAGCAGGTCCTCCTCCTCCCCTGCCTTCCACCCTGGCCCCCACTCTCATTGCTTTCTCCTGCTGTCCAGGAGTAGGGACCTCTTCCTAGGACTCACTCTCTAATACTTGGACACATCTCAGTTACTGGTGACCCCTGACATCTGCTAGAGGGCCTGTGGCTGTACCCTGTGAGCTTCTTGTTGTGGATAAGCCTATGGGCTTTTTAAAATTAGAAAATCCATATACTCTACAATTCACCCTTTTACTGTGTACAGTTTACAGGGAGATTGTATATCCATTTTTTAGTTATGGTAAAACATGTAATTTGCCATTTTAACCATTTGGGGGCACCGATTGATTGTTACCATCACTTATTTGCAAAACTTTTCTGTCATTCCAGTGCAATATTCTATACCCATTAAATAATTTTACATTTTCCTCCGCTCAGCCCCTGCTCCAGGCCTCTGGTATCTGTAATCTATTTCCTTTTTGGTTGCCTATTCTAGATATTTTATGTTGAATCATGCAAAATTTGTTTCTGGCTTATTTTAAGTGATATTTTAGGGGTTCATCGATGTTGTAGTGCATTATCAGAACTTTTCTCCAGGGGATGGAGAGATGGCTGAACGGTTAAGAGCATTTACTGCTCTTCAGTAGACTTATGCTCTGTTCCTAGAACCTATAGCAGGAGGCTCACAACGTCCTGTAACCCAAGTTCAAGGGCATCCTGGTATCTCTGGCTTCTGTGAGTACCTGCACACACATGCACACACACAATTAAGAACAATAAAAATGCTTTAAAAAAAAAAAGAACTTCAGTGAACCTTTTGACTGACTGGTGCCCATGGTATGGGTATGCCAGGTTTATTTATCCAGTCACCTGTGGGCCAGTGCTTACATTATTGTTCTCTCCTGGGTGTTATGAATAACACTGCTGTGGACATTGAGATAATAATCACTGTTTGACTGTTTGAGTCCCGTCCCCACTGCCTGTGATAATATGCCTAGGAACTGAATTGCTGTGATAACTCCGTGCTGGGCTTTTTGAAATGCATGTAGACCTCTGGGTTTAAATCATTACAAGTGAGGAATGTGGGTCTTTATTAGTTAAAATGTGCCTGGTTCTATCTGTTAATGTGAAGAGCTGCAAATGTGTGTGACCAGTTCATTCCTCGCCTTCTTTTGGGTTCTTAACAATTATCATCTGGAAGACTCGTGTGACAGTTAATCATGGATGGCTTCGTGACTCCGTTATTCTAACTGGTTATTTTAGAGCTTTTACTGTTTAAGTTGTCATGTTGTTATACAGTCTCCCGCTGAGCTTTTCATCTTCTCGAGGACAGAGGCATGCTTCTATTTCTTTGTGCAGCCATTCCCTGTGGCACTGACTGTAGATCTCCAAGATTCCAAACTAATGACCTGTCATTTCTTTGCTCTCAATCTGCTGGCTCTGCACAGAGTAGAGAAGAACTTCTTCCGCAAGCCCTCCCTCTTTGTGCCGCGCTTGCTTGCCATGTGATCTCAGGCAGCTCAGCTGATGAGAGTACACGTTGAGTGTCCTTTATGCGGAAGGCTGGGGACACCAGGCGCGGTGCTACAAGCCTTAGGCCTAGCACTCAGGAGGCGGGCTTGGGACAGAGCCTGCACCGGTCTGAGGAGATGGGGCCCCAGCACGAGAGGGAAGCGGGCAAAAGCCCCCTCCCTAACCCAGAAGCTATTGCCAATTGATAACACTGAGAGGAAATATTTGTTCTCCAAGAGAGCCTCACTGGGAGTACAAACTACACTTACAGGCAGGCCACGCCCAGCACTAGATGCCAACACTAAACAAACCCCATGGTGTGTTGAAAGGACTCTTGTCTCATAGAGCTTTGTCTATTTATTTGTTTGTTTGTTTATTTGTTGCCTTACAGGTCTTTTGCCAATATATTATGGTTTCTAATTTTGTATTTTTGCAGGATTTCTGGGGAGGAGGGGGTGTGTCTCTGCATCTGTGAGTGTTTCTTGTGGGGTTTTGGTTTTTAGGTTTTTCTTTTTGGGCTTTTTTTTTCTGCTTGTTTTTTCCTATTCTAGTTTGTTTATGTGGTGGTTTTGATTTTGTTTCTTAGTTGTCTAATGAGAGGGAGAAAAAGTGTGGATTTGAGTGGGTGAAGAGAATCTGGAAGAAGTTGGGGGAGGAAAACCATGATCAGAATATATTACATAAAAATCTATTTTCAATAAAAATTAAAACTATTTTTAAAAAGACTTGAGACCAGCCAGGCAGTGGTGGCACACGCCTTTAATTCCAGCACTTGGGAGGCAGAGGCAGACAGATCTCTGTGAGTTCAAAGCTAGCCTTTTCTACAGAGATACCCTGTCTTGAAAACTCAAAAAAAAAAATCTTGAGACCAAAAATGTTTCAAATTTCAAATTTTCTTATATACATATCCTCTAAAGGGAATTTTACACAATTATTTTTAGTATGCCTGCTTTTTGACCACAGCCTGCCATATCAAGTCAGACATGGAATTTCCCACTTGTGATATCAGGTCAACACTCAAAGGTTTAGCTTTGGGAGCATTTATGACTTTGGGTTAGGGCAGCTCATCCTATGTACTAGTAGTGATGGTTCCCCTGATGAGCTGCTTACATGTGTCATGCAATATCATTGTCTCACTGAGTCCCAAGAACAGCCTGTGGTACAGGTTCTGTTGTCATGGTCCATTCTTCCCAAGGTCCTGTCATCAGCACATACCAAAGTTAAACATCTGACTGGAAGCCCATGTTCTATCCGACAGTCCCACTAGGGACCTTCTGCTAACCCAGAAAGGATTAGGTGTGTGCTCACTGAAGGAAAGGCCCAGCCCAGCCATCACGACTACTGGTGTCAGGAGCAGGGCCAGGCCCCCAGAGCCATCCCCCTGCTGCCCGTCCAGCCTCTTAGGTCTACAGCCCAGCTGGCCTTCTACTAGCCTTAAAAGTGCCCACTTGCCTACTTTCTCTGCAGTGATTCAAGAAAACTCCTATTGGAAATAGCCTGGCCTGGGTCTGTGGCATTAGTCAAGAGTCTGGGGCAGGAGGGTCACTGAAAACCCTATCATTCTATAAATACCAGCTTCTTCTCATATCAGATTAGCTGGAAAGTAGCCATCTTGTCTAGGCAATTGTTATGTCTTAAAAATAACTGATACGTGTACAAAAATAAATGAGCATCCATTTTTAAAACCTTGCATAATGCGCAATAAGACCCACATCTGCCATCCCAGCAGCCTATCACCAAGCCACAGGCAGATGGAATTGGTTCCCAGAGGAGCCACGAAAGCATAAAGCCCTGTGAAAAGCAAGTGCTGGCCCAGAGCCACCCAAGCCTGCTCTTCCCTCTTCCCTGTTCCCGGCACAGGCCCAGTTAGAAGATCAAGGCCTGGGTTGAGATCACTCCCTAGGGGCATCAGCACACAGGAGACTTGCTTTAGAGCTCTGGACAGTACTGTCTCCCAACCTTGGCCCAGAGAACGGGACTCTGCAGGAAGGCCAGGCCATCCCTAAAAACGGGTACCCAGGGTCCTAGGGAGCCTAAACACAATCACCCAAATTCGGCTCCACTTCTATTTCTCACAGTTTCTGAATGACGATGCTGAGATCTTCAGAGCTCATTAGCTCTAGCCCCCACCAGCATCCCGGGTCACTGGGCATCTCTTCCCTCCCTGCTTAAACTCTGCTGATCCTCACAGGCCAGAGCCCAGGCTCAGGGTCATTTCCCTTCCAAGTTGGTCCTCTGCCTGCCTAGTCCATTGCTCAGACAGACTCCACCTCTGGTGGTCAGAGGGGTCGCCACCAAACTCTACTGAATCTGGCACGTGGGGACAGCGCAGGCCCACCTGTAATTGTCTCGCTCAGCACCAGTGAGTCTAGTGCCAGGCCCAGCCCTGCTCCATGGACCCTGGTGTTGGTTGTCCTGCCTCATAGCCAGCCCACAGTCGTAACTTCTCCCTTTACCTTTACAGCACGGTCTCCAAGCAAAGGAAAAATGTCATCAGCTGTGTCACAGTCCACGACTCTCCCTACTCCGACTCCTCCAGCAACACCAGCCCCTACTCGGTGCAGCAGCGAACAGGACACAACGGCACCAACACCTTGGACACTAAGGGGGCTCTAGAAAATCACTGTACCGGCAACCCCCGCACCATCATCGTACCCCCACTGAAGACCCAGGCCAGTGAAGTGTTGGTAGAATGTGACAGCCTAGGGCCAGGTAACCTGGGACCACAGCAAGCCCATAGCATTTCTCTGCTTTTCTTGTTTTCTGCTATTAGAAATGCTAGTACTGCCGGGCGGTGGTGGCGCACACCTTTAATCCCAGCACTCAGGAGGCAGAGGCAGGCGGATCTCTGTGAGTTTGAGACCAGGCTGGACCGACAGCCTCCAAAACAATACAGAGAAACCCTGTCTCGTAAAAACCAAAAAAAAAAAAAAAAAGAAATGCTAGTACTAGTGAAGCAAAAGGTACCTAATTATTTCAGATGACCATACTGTATACATGGTTCTGTGGAATTCCACCTATGCAACAGAATATCATGTTCTACAGAGAACAGTTTCCTCTTGAAATTCTGAGAGCATGACTGTCCTCAAGGTGGCTCTGTCATAGTTGGTAAACAGTGAAAGCACTGCAGTTTTCTATGGTCTGGGCATCTTTCTAGGGGCACTACTGGTAGAGCAGGTGTCCTGTGGAGGAAGCATTTCCTCTGAGCTTGCCACATGGGGTCATGGACCCTTTATCAGGACTTTTTCTTGGGCATAGACATGTGAGCTGAGCACATTTCTCTCAGCTTTGTTTAAAGAACTAACATTCCTCGAGGCAGAGGTGGTGCATGCCTTTAATCACAGCACTGGGGAGGCAGAGGCAGGTGGATCTCTGTGAGTTTGAGGCCAGCCTGGTCTACAAGAGCGAGTTCCAAGACAGCCTCCAAAGCCACAGAGAAACCCTATCTGAAAAAAAAAAAAAAAGAACTGACATTCCAGGAGGCTTGTCCTGAAAATTGAGCAGGAAGCTGGTGAGCTGTGTCTAAACATGAGAACCTATTGTTCCTTGGTTGGGACCACCTGTCTGTCACCTGACATGGCAACAGGAGATACCTGAGGTTACCCTGGTACAGCATTGCCAGGCCTACAAGATTCAGGCTGCTGGGGTTCCGCCACTTGAGGTGCAGAGTAGAATTGAAGATGAGATCTCTAAGGACTTTTCCAGTGCCCTGATGCAGCCAGCCTGCAATAGTTTCCCAATGTGCACAGCAAACTGTGACCAGCCCCCCCCTTTTTATGCCAGGACCTCTGCCTGAAAGGAGATAGAAACCAGCCTGGGCCTCTTCCTCCCCTCGCCATCTGCCTGGGGGTGACCCATGTGTGGAATGCTCACAGCCTCCTTGTCAAGCACTTTCAGATACCCCCAGCTCCCTTCTTCAGAAGACAGGCTCTTCAAACACATCTGCCTGGCACCCTGTCACTGCTGTTCATTTTACAGCCTAGCTGCTCCCACCATCTGTGGAGCTGATGGCGGTTACAAAGTCCTTGCTCTGTGGTGAGAAGCAGAGTGTGGGGCCCACAGGGCCCTGGCTAGAGACAGCATGAGGCTGCTGAACCTCTCAGTAAGGGTTGTGCATATGGAATGAACCCCACTCTGCTGTAACCTCCTAACTCTGCAGCTACTATGAATTTCAAACAAAGGCACTGCAAGGACCCAGGTTCTCAGACCAGCCCAGGCCACGCAGCGGGCCTCGGGGGTGCTAGCTTCCCTGCGCTCTAGGCACGCTTACACATGCACTGCTTGAGCGAGGGTCTGTTCCCTCACAACCGCCGGCTCCACACTAGGAGCGTGGTGGTCCCTTGCCACTTCCTCCTGAGTCTCTTGCCCCTTCAGGACCTTCCTGCATCCAGGGCTCTTGCACTCTGACCTGCTCCGCCCAGTCTTTATCTTGTCACCACAATAAAGGTAAAGGGTGAGCAACAGGCGCTTCCTAACATTGCCATTTTGCAGACCCAAGCTGCAGATTCCTTAAACTGATTGATTCTCCCTCTAACATACCTACAAAGTTTCTAGGATGCTGAACTAGAGCAGAGCTCTCCTGATCTGTCACCAGCAGGGAGGAGCTCCTGGTGCCATAGGGAAAAGCAGGCTCTACTGATAGCCAAGGCCTGCAGCTGCTTGACCCCATATCTAGTCCCCAAAGACCCAGGTTTGGGCTGGACTTTGAGAATCTAACTGGCTTAGCTTGGGCACTGAGTCCTAAATGTCATCTGCTCCACTAGTGCCTGGCCGCTCTGCATTCCTGGGAAGCTCAGTACACCAAGTCCCAGGCTCCTTGGGGAACTCTGATACAGTGGGTAGGTGGGAGGGGCCTTGGGTGCCAATGCACAGTCAGATTTAGGGACCTCTTTCTGGGACCCACCCTCTTCCTCCCAGCAAATCAGGTCTTCCTTGACTTGAGGCTGGGCTCTCTTGAGAGGCAGGATGGGCCTTCTGCCTTCTGGGTCTGCCATGGTCTGCTGTCTCCAGGTTCCCATTCTCCCTTCGTCCTTCTAGAGCCAGTGCCTTTGATGAACTCGTCATCAGTGCTTGCCTGGGGTGCACAGGGCTCACTTCACTGCCCTGGAATTTGTCAAAAAGTTGACCCAGCCCAAATCATTCAAAAGCCCCATCTTTTATTATACATGGCTCCTTAATATGTAGTGCCATCTGTCCTAAGAAGCTCAACGAAGGGGATGAATCTTTAACTACAAAACACAATGTGAGAGTGCTCAGATATACTTGGACTGGTGGAGATGAGGGGGTGGATTGCCTTCTCTCTCAGTGTGCTCTGTCTCTTGCCCTGGGCAAAGCCCCCTCAGGCTTGTTAAGAGGATCAGCATCCCAGTGTGCACCTGTCTCGTGCGGCCCATCTCCCAACTGGCATTGCATTCCTGCCTGACTGGCACTTGGTTGGCCTGGGGCATGGGAGACAGGCTGTCCCTCAACCTCCAGACCAAAGCCATTTTCTTCTCAACTAATTCTTTATTCTTTAGCTTTTAAGGAGTACAGTTAATATGTGAACTGTGGCTTTTAAACCATCCAGCACCAATAGCACAATTTACAGGCTTCTCTTGTCCCTGCAGGCATTCAGTAGAACACAGAGGCAGCATCTGGGGCCTTCTCCCACCTATGCTGGCCTAGGCCCTTGTGCAGGGTTGCTTCTCGAGACATCCAGTATCACCTCATGGCTGTGTCTGCTTATTGCGTGCCTATTGTTGGCTCTTGGGTATTGCTCAATAAAGCTTCTATGGCTAAGCCAAGTGTAGTGACACACATCTATAAAACCAGCACAGAAAAGGCAGAAACAGGAGGATTGCAGGCTTGAGGGTGGGTTACGTAATGAGGCCTTATCAAAGACAAGAGGGAGAGGAGAGGCGATGGCCTGTTCATCTAGGTGCTCTCCTTTGCAAAGCATCGCGCTTACTTTATTCGGGGGTGAAGGTCTCACCGCTGCCCAGCTGGACAGTTCAGGCCCAACCTGCCCAGCCATCAGCACCTCCCTGCATCCCCTGCCTCTGCCTCTCGCCTTTATGCTCTGTGATCTCCTGATTTCCACTCTCACCCCATCTGTTCTGGGTAGTACATGGTCGCAGTGGCTGGCAGACAGCGTGTGCTTAGAACACATTGGCTAGGTTAAGACAGCGGCCCTTAATAAAGCTTTGGGCTCCCTTAGTCAGGCACTTAGATCCATCTAATATGGGTTATTGCCTTTCTCAATCTCCTCCCCTCTAAGGCTGTGGTCTTCCCACCCAGCAGCATTGACACCCAGGATGTGCCAGAATGCAGACTCTCATGCCATCCCCAGCTGCAAGGCTGGACTCAGACTCACCCAAGTATAGAGCTATCTCCTGCCTGGAGAGAGAGTCTCTACATTGTCAGTACCATGGGAACAGTTGTTATTTCAGCCATATTCGGTTCTCAGGCCATTCCCTGGGAGAGCTAGTCTCATCCTGCCTTGGATCCGGAGAGCTGCAGGGTTATTGTAGCTTCTGCTGTTCTCCCTGGTTGGCTGTTAGGGCCAGCCATTGGCATGATCACATCTGATCCTCTTGGCTACCAGAAGGGAACCAGGCAGGCCGCTTTCCTTCCACACGTCTCCCAGGTATTGCTATATACTTTCCCTAGAGGACCCAGTGGGGCCCAGCTTGGACCTGTGCCTTTACCCTGGATTTTGTTACTCCTATCTCCCTCATTTGCAACTCCAGTCCACTATGCAGCCGAGGACGAGCCCAGCTGCCTCTCCAGAGTCAAGGTGAATGCCTCATCAGGCCTGGGGACTGAGTGGTTCCTGCCTGAGCAGTCTCAGGGACATGTGTTTACAAGGAGAGTGAGCACGTCTTCCAGATAGCCAAGGGCACGCCACTGACCTATGACCTGTCCATCCTCCTGCAGCAGTCAGTACTGGTCACCATTCGTCCTCCTTCAAGTGCAAGTCCTCCAGCACCGTGACCTCCACCAGTGGCCACTCTTCAGGGAGCTCCTCAGGAGCCATCGCCTATCGGCAACAACGTCCAGGCCCCCATTTCCAGCAGCAGCAGCCCCTCAATCTCAGCCAGGTAAGCTCCAGCAGCCTAAGCGGCCTTGATGGCTTATTCCTATGCTAGACCAACCCTGGGAAAGGCGCTGTCATGGTTCCCAGAGAGCCAGCCCAAGCAAAGTGATAGAATACTTGGTGACACGGTGCCAGAGCTGACCTGCTGGCCAGAGGCCCACGTGGGCCCAGCAGAGGCTTAGCTGCTGTTGCCCTGGGTCACCAGGCTAGCCCTGACGTTGCCTCACTGCAGGAAGTCCTCTCAGTCAGCACCCAGACCCTTGGGAAGTACCCTAGGGCCTGCTCACATGCCCCAGTGGTCTGGGTTCTCTACAGGAGAGAAAGTTCTTTGCTTGGACTGGTTCTGGAAGGTTTTAGAGTGAGATTTGACAACATGTGGGAAAGCAGTCACTACCCAGAGGTCACTTCAGCAGAGCATCGCACGTTACTTTCTCAATTCAAATGTTTGTACTCTCTGCTTTTGACGGGAAACATCTGTTGTCCATGCTGATTCCCATTCCCCACCTCTCTCCTCCTAACACTCCCTCTGCTACTTTTCCTTCTCAGGCTCAGCCGCACATGGCTACAGACCGAACTGGGAGTCACCGTCGGCAGCAGGCCTACATCACTCCTACCATGGCCCAGGCTCCATACACCTTCCCGCACAACAGCCCCAGCCACGGCACGGTACACCCCCACCTGGCTGCAGCTGCCCACCTTCCCACCCAGCCTCACCTCTACACCTACACAGCGCCCACAGCCCTAGGCTCCACAGGCACCGTAGCCCACCTGGTGGCATCCCAAGGCTCAGCACGCCACACCGTGCAGCACACTGCCTACCCGGCCAGCATCGTCCACCAAGTCCCTGTGAGCATGGGGCCCCGGGTCCTACCCTCGCCCACCATCCACCCCAGTCAGTACCCCGCCCAGTTTGCCCATCAGACGTACATCAGCGCCTCGCCAGCCTCCACCGTCTACACTGGATACCCACTGAGTCCTGCCAAGGTCAACCAATACCCTTACATATAAACACTGGAGGGGCCGCAGGGAGCGGGGTGGAGGAGCCCCCAGCAGACCTGGGGAGCCGGGTTTCTCTACTGCAGGTGCCTGCCGCACTCAAACAATGCAAATGGGGCAGGGAGGGACAGCTGGGACACAGATGAAACTTGAACTAGAAGTGGGAGGACTTAGAGCAGAGAAGAGAGCATTTTAGAAGGAAGGGATTCAGGAGTGGGAAATCTATGCTTTTTATTTTAAAAAAGAAAAAGGAAAAAAAAGAAAAAATGTTAGTAACAAAAGAGGAAAAAAACACAGCTCACAACCCATTCTGCACCAAACTGGAAAGGAAAAGAAGAGCTACAGAAGATTCTGGAAGCAAGGGGCCCCAGTGTTTGAAGAACTTTATGAACTTTTTAAAGATTATTTTCATATGGCAGCAAGTGACATTGAAGAATTTGCTGTCGGGGACACCTGATATGGAAATCCAATAGATTTTTAATTAATTGAGTATGAAAATTAGGGATTTCTCCAGAACCCCAAAAGGGTCAACACCCCTTTCAAATGTCGGGCCATGGCCTAAAGGAGGCTCATATTTGGGGGTTGGTCTGGGGTTGGCAAAGCCCAGTTCTGGTTTGTTTGTCAGGAATAGTGGGGTCAGCCAGACTGATGGAGAACCCCTCAGGAGAGGGGCGGGTTTCATCTTTTGGGCATTCTGGATAAATCTCTCATCAATGTTTGTCATTAATAATGTGTGTTGCAACCTTTAATTTTGTTTTCTTTTCTGAGATTGTTTCTCTTCTTGAATCAACCCCTGGTCGTGTAGCATAGGGCTAGTGGTCGTCGCAGACGCCCTAGTAGAATGTAGCACTCTGCGCCCTTGTTTCCTTCCTTGTGTTCAACTCCAGTGATACCAATAGACTATTCCTCAGTGTAATTGCACAAAAAAGTGATATAAGGTAGGCATGGAACCAATGTGGTGGTCTTAGTGAGCGAGTGAGTGTGCATGAGCACGTGTGGGTGTGAGCGGGGATGCCGCCCTCCCGTGTGTCCCCTGGCACCGCCGTCACAGCCCTTGCAGTCTTGATTTTACGTCATTCCCTCCTAGTGCCTTAACGACCGACAGACAGACAGACACGGTGAAGGGTTTACTTCCACTGGTACTCCAAGAAACTGGCTGGGGCTGGTCAGATATGCTCTCAGCTCTTGTGTTAGAGTATTTTACTTGGGTCTTTTTGATTTTGTATCATCTTAATGTCATGTGGATTGTCTTTCCTGGGCTCTTTGTGAGCAGAAGGGTTTCAAAGAAGCTTGCATAACTAGAGGGGGAGAGTCGTGGATCTCAAGAGGGATGTGGGAGCAGGTGGGGCAGCCGGCTCTTTGGCTGAGTTTTACTCTGAAGGCAGAGGTCCTGAGAGACCCCACCCTCCCTAACTCTGCCACATATGGCGTAAGGGGGTCTTCAGCTGCCTCAGCCTCCAAGCCCGCCACTTCCTTCCTGGAGCCATATGGGGAGAAGCAGGAGACCTGTTCCCATTTCTGGTTACCTCCCCAGTCCCTCCGTCCCACAAGAAGCCTGGTAGTGTCAGACACACCCACATGTCTCTCCTCTCCACCAGCTCCAGGGGCTGTGGTTAGGCTCCTAGTATCTCCAGCTCTCCCCTGCAGGCCTCCACGGTGAGTTTGCTGTTGCTTCTTTCCTGAAATTAACCTAGGTCTCCCGAGACACTTTGTTCTCTGACTGAGAGACAGCAGGCAGAGGGGCTGGAGGGACATTTGGGGAAGCGCTCCCATGGACACTTGAGCCTGCAAAGAAATGTGCCTGTGCCTTTGCACTGTTGCTACACTCTGGGTGTTTTCTCCAACTTTGGACAGCGACGTGGGTAGGAATTTTCTATTCCCACTGAGAAACTCTGAAGCCATGGAAGTTGGAGACCAGTCCGGTCCAGGATGGGACACAGTAGCATGCCATGGACTGTTTGGTCCCGGTGTAAGTCCTAGCTGGCCCCCAATCCACATCTTCAGTTAAAAGGCCTCCCCAGTCTCCCTCCCTGTCCTCCCTCTGTCAAAGGCTTTCTTCATGGCACCTGCCCTCCTTCAGTAACGAAGCTTACTTAGCTTTTAGCTGTGAAAAACTCTGGAAACTTCCCCACCCACGAATCTTAGAAAGTCCCCAAACTGGATATGTCTTAGTGCACCTTGGGCCAAAAAGAAGAGAAGCTAGAGCCTGGCAAGGCCCGGCCCCGCTCCAGCCAAGGACTTGCTGCAAGTGAGGCAGCAGGAGAAGTCGGTTCAGAGGGCGCAGAGCGAAGCCTTTGGAGAGCCCCGTGCCAGAGGCTTCTAGAGCCCCGCCAGCATGGAAATCCATCCGTCACAGTTTCTAGCAGCCAGGTGGCAGCCGCTTCCCATGGGACTTTCTCTTACTGTCAGCAGGCAGATAGTCCTGACTGAAAGTGGGCCTGGATTCGCCTTGCTGTGAGGCAGCATCCAGAGGGCCAGCGTGTGGTCTTGTAGGGATGCGTCTTTCCTTCCAGCTCCGCTAGTCTGCTCACATCGAAGCTTCTCACTCCTCCACCCATTCTGCCCTCCCAGATGAACCATGACCGTTCCTTGCTGCTCATGATTTAGTATTATTGTACGGATTATTTGTGTTATTGCCACTGTAATTATGATCATTATCACCTTATTACTATTTTAGTCAGGGTTTGAAGTATACATTTATTCCAAGTATCTTTGTGTTTTCTTCATACTATTTAAATTTATTTTATTATAGCTGTGAGTATATGAATAGACTGGAGGAACACACAGATGTACAGTCTTGTCAGAGGGGAAAAAAGGAAAGGAAAGGCACGGAACTAGGAAATTGTTTCTGTCATCTCTGTGCCGCAAGGAGCTCCAAGGAAAGCCTACCGCAGAGCAGAGACTCGGATACGTTGGGCCAGTCTCTGCCTGGCCCGCCGGGTGCACAGCCACTGGTGGTGCAATGCCTTTTGGACCCTTTGGCAGCTTCTCCCACACTCTCTGTCTGAACTACTGAGCAGATTTTAGCCTGCCTCGTCTCTGTCTCTCACAGCTGCCCTAGAGCTCCCCTTCCCTTCACTCTTTCCTGTCAGTACAGTTGGAGAGTGGCTCTTCTCCCTCAATGCAGAGACGGTGGTCCCACCCAAAAGCCCTTAGGTGTAGTGAGGCTTATGGGCAGCCAGTGCCTCCTCATTCTGTCCTGCTCAGCTGCCACCCTACCCATCTCCCTAGTCTGCTTCTTCTCCAGACACCCTCCCAGTGCCCAACTCCGGGGAGCCAAGTAAAGAAACGGAGAGAGAGCCCTGGGCGGAGTCCCACGGTTGCTCAGAAACCAGCAGGCCCCTGTGAAGGAAGGACCGGAGCACTAGCTTCCCCAGACAGAAGACAGTCCCTCTGCAAACCTCCACCCCACTCCCATTCCTCCCTGATCTCAACCCCGTGTACAGAGCCAGCACATCAGGAGTCACCCTAGGCCCCAGCTAGGTGGCATCCTCACCTACGTCCCCCTGAGGTGCTCAGCACATCCGTTTGGCAAAAAAGATGGAAGAAAGGTCTCTGTCCTTAGGACTACACTCAATGGAAGGTGGCCCGCTTAGCCCCTGGTGCATCCTCCGGGGGTTCTTTAATGAGGGAGCGGGGCTCAGCCTGAGGAAGATGGGAAGGAGAAGGTCTGTGGCACCTCGTGACCTGGGTTCTCACTGACCATGCGGGCCTTGGCACCCAGGCCTCTGTCAGTATGTCGGCGGTGTTTCAGGAAAGCAGAGGAGCGGGGCCCGTGGGTAAGCAAGGCTGGCGCTGTGTCGCTTAGCCCTGCCAAGTGGATGTGGTTGCTGTGATTTGTAGGAGAAAGGGTGGGGTGGTCCAGTGCCCCCCGGACTGTGCAAGTTTCTCTCCTTCCTGTGGCAGAGACCACAGTGTGGAGCAGGTCAGCAAGGGCGGTCGGCACAGCAGATGGGGCCTCCCTGGACCAGGGCTCGGGAGTTGCAAACACTCTCTTTTGAGCAGTGTGCGGTGGAGGATGGGTCGGGTATCGTAATGAGTGGAGTTGATGTTGAGGAGGCTTAAGGAAGTGTATGGTGGTTCATGGTAGTAAGGGTGATTGGGTCCTCAGTCTGTCCCTCCCTCCCCCAGGGTCTCTGTGTCTGGCTGAGGGCAGGGTAGGATGTGGGCGTGGCTCTTGCTGGCCTGCCCAGTAGCTGCTAGGACAGAAGACAGAAGAAAACTGCTTGATGCCCTCTGCTAGCAGACAGAGTTCCATGAGAGGCAAGGTCTTCCGTGGCCCAGCCTGAGACGTCACAACCCCCGCCAGCCACTGTGTCACAACACATTCCAGCCCAGGTCTCACAGGCTTTGCTCTGCTCCTCACTCCTGTTTTCCCTCTTATGTGCTTTATAGATTTCTCATGGGGAAGTCTCCAAATCAAGCAGGCCAGAGATGCCCTTACAAATTAGAAAGGAAAGTAAAACTGTCCCTTTCTATAGCCAAAGAATCCTCTCAAAGACACCTCTAGAGATGGACAAGTGTTCCCCGTTCCTTTCTGGGCAATTCCATTTATACTTCCTCTCTATCCTGCCTCTTTTTAATGTCACTGCTTTTATTTCAAAACCACTCATCTTTAAGAGGAGTGGAGTAGTGGTCCTAGACGCTGCTATTCCCGGGGAACCGAGGCCCCTACCGTGCTCATTTGTGCTTAATCGACATCATGCTACCGTGGGGAACTAGACGACAAGCAAGTAGACCTTTCCTGGTGACCCACACTGCGTCCCAGGCTTAGGATGCCCAGGACTCACGTGAGATAGCAGTATCCGTCCACTTGCCTGGTCTCTACACGCAGTCAGTACTCAGACAAATCCGCCAAGCCACTAGAGAACCAAAGATGGCAAAACGAGGCTCACTTGATTACAGAAGAAGCCTCATGAACACTTCGGCACTGTGGCTCCCTGTAGTGGCCACCTGAGGGAAGGTTTCCTGCGTCTTTGGGGCAGCACAGAGAGGTAGTTCCAGGCAGTCTCTTTCCTCCTGGCTCAGGGTTGTCAGAAAAGAGATCCCGGAGGCTCCCTGTCACAGATGCACCCCCCCCATCCTTTCAGAGTCCCTCATCTCAGACCCTCGCAGGAGAACATTATACTGATTGCCTCTTGCTGCACACTAGCAGTACCCTCACGTAAGGACTCACCGACGTTCATTGAGTGTTCACAGTATGCCAAGGCCTTTCTGAGGGCCATCTCACAGCCGCCTACCCCCGGCAAGAAGTCAGCACTCCTGTTTGACAGATGGAAAAGCTAGCCGTCTGAGAAGATGGCATGTGTAAAAGGAAAACTATAATACCATTGCAGAACCCCCAAGTTTTTGTTAATGAAACTTCACTGATGTGACACTGTTTCCCTGTTCAATGAAGCGCAGTGAGCAGCCCATCTCCAATGAGTCATTCAATGACGCTCCCATTCCCTGTGTGCCAAATGCTGTGCTAAGAATTGCTGGGAGAGCCCTACAACACCAGCCTTGTCAGTACCTGTACGGATGGGGTGCCTGGCTTAAAGAGCCTGTAACCTGCCCAGGTCACCCAACTAGTGAGAAAGGGACTCAGGGCTTAACACTATCTGCTTAGCTCTAGACAGAGTTCCCAGACACCAGCCCCAGCTGCCTCCCTGTGGAGCAAGGACAGTCTTTGACAGAGTGTCAAGCCAGTCTCCCCTGTGTGACTGGAGTTCCTGGATGGGGTGCAGGTCCAAGGAGAGTTTGACTTTAAGAAAACTCCGGGGAGTTTCTCTGGATTCCTAGAATTCCTTTCTGGTTTCTTTCCAGCTAATAGCTTTAGTCATGCTGCTACAACTCTTATGAGAGTGAAGGGAAAGTGTTCTTTTCTTTAAAACTAAATAAATGTTTTTCTTGTTTATAGTTAATCCTAGAAAGGCAATACTAAAGTGTATATTTTTTTCCAAAATGCTACTTTTTACTGTACTTGATAAATACCCTGACAGCTCTGATCTCTGTACTAGACCCTCTCTTCAGCCCCGGGCAGAGCCAGGAGCCAGGTTCACGCCAGATTTGTAAATACCATTTGGGTCTGTGGCCAAGAACTTTTTTTTTCTGTGAAGAAACAAAAACAAAAAGAGAAGAGGAGGGGAGGATGAAGGCAGGTTGGGAAGAGGAACAAAACCGAGCTTTCTCGCAAGAGACGACCTCAGAGAGACGGACAAAGCATAGCAGGGCGCAGCAACCAAGCCAGGAGTGAGAAGGATGCGCCTCTGGCTGCCCTGAGCTCGGGAGCACTGCAACCACAGTCCAGTTCACCTGAGAGGTGACACAAATCTAGACATGCTCTAGGACTAGACTTTAACTTCCGAAAAGGCCTAGCATGCACTCTAAGTTTTACTCGGTTGTTTTGGTTGGGTTTCTTGTTTTTCTTTTAAAAACGTCTTTACTGACTGGCTCCAGGCTTGTTTGTCTAAATTCTTAGGTCGTTTACACAAGTTCTGAATTCTTCTAGAACTTTAACTCCATTGGAAGCAAACTGACTAGTACAGATCTGAGATCCTGGTTGGTGGCGGTAGGTGTTCTGGGGCTCCGGCAGACCACCTGTCAGTGTTTTCAGAAGGTTTTAGATAACATTATCTTACACAAACTGTGACCTAATGGCAATAATTACCTCAAATGTGGGCATTCTTCCTGGTTTTAGCCTTTTTTGAAACAATATAGCCAGTTTGATCTTGTGATTTAAAAGACTATGAATTCTCTGTGGGCTGAAGTAAGGAAGCAGAAGGGTCTTTGCCAAACTCTTTTTATGAGGCTCTGCACCCCGGTCACTGTTGCTGAAGTGAGTGCGCTCGAAGAGCAGCCAGGGAAGAGGTGACCTCTGTGTCACAGTCAGTGTGACGTCTAGGGAGCGTGGCCCTCGCTGCAGTAACATGCCCTTGCTTTTTCCAGTATCCAGTAACCCACACAATTGGCTATGGATGCATACTCAAGCATACTTCTGGCTACACTCTATATTTTATAGTTTACATTTAACCTGGTACTTTTTTTTTAATTGTTTATAACTGGCATCTTCAACCAGAACGATTGACTGTTGTGTTAGAAGCTGTGTCTCCCCAAAGCAGGCGTGTTCCACTTACTCTGTGCGGAAGCCAAGTATGTGCGCTTCCTTTATTGTTGTTCCCTGTGAAACTGAGAGAATGTGAAGGACGTCTAGAGGGAACGGAAGGGATGAGACCTGAGCCAGATGCAGAGTCCCATGCCACGCTGTACCAACTCTTCTTGTCAAGCCCTTCTCGAAAGCATGGGGGGGGAGATGATTCCTGCTTCCTCGGTTTCTGTCTTGATTTCAGTCTTCCTGTAGGACTGGTCACTCTCCTGGCAGTAGATGGCACTGGTTCTCACAGCTCTGAAGGCATGCTCACTGTTTCTGGACCCCAGAGAACCTCTGGTCCGCATTTGGAGAGGGAGACCCCAATTCCATAGTCACTGGCTGGGTTTTCCACATATCACTGTTTTAGTCTTTAAAGTACAACCTACGTCAAATGATGTGTGTGTCAATTTACCCACTGTCGGGCTAAGCTGTGAAATCCAGTTCTGAGGCTTCTGCTGACAGACGTAGGTGCTTCTGAGCCAGCGGGGCGGGGTAGGCAGCAAAGGATGGTCCATGGAAACTGGTCCACAGAGAGGGGAGTTACAGTGACTGAGACACGCTTCAGAGACAAGTGTGGGCTCTACTGGTAGGCAGGAGAAAACAGGAAATGTCAATTTCCCTGACAGGTTTTGGGGGGTTGGATTTGGGGGGGTGCTGTTTATTTTTGTTTTGTTGTGTTGCAACTTTAAGACAGGGTCTCACCATGTAGCCCTGGCTGGTCTGGAACTCACTGTGTGGACTGGGTTTTGTTTTCTCTTGTGCCACTGTGCAGGACCCATGGTGATCCATGGTGTGATGTGATCATTCCTCTAGCAGACGCCTTGAGAGCTGCAGCCTGGCGGTGCCAGGGTGCCAGGGACTGTTGCGTTTGCTTTGCTCCTGTGAGCGGTGCCGGCAGCATGCTCCTGTGAGCTCTGTTAGAATGCCCTTCGTCTCACCCTTCTTAGTCATACCCCAGGCTCCTCTGTGTGTGTGTCTGTGTGTTTTCCTTTGCACTAATAAACCAAATGAATTTTTGTCATTGTCTTTAGAGCTAACCTATGTTTTTAAATGAGAGGTATAGAAATGGGCTTTTCATTATTATTTGAAAGTATGAACTATGTCTGAAGAAGAGCTCTGCTGTTGCTCTCTTTAGTCCCCCCTCAACCAACTTCCAAATGGATCTCTCCTGCCCCTCCCCCATGTTGACTCACTGCTCCCCACAGCCACCTCTGCCCGCCTGTCACCACAGATCCATGCTCAGGACTCCCAGGAATCTCAAGAGCCATCTACAAGACTTGGCTTAGCCCTGAGAGCCATGCTTCTGCCTCCCTGGCTGGGCTGACGGGCTGTGGACCTGCTATTGTGGTATCAGTACTTTGGCTCAGGTTATGCGGAAGGACGTAGAAGTTGAAAGTGACTTGACTGTACCATCCTCTAGCGTTCTGTGACTCTGAGTGCAATGCGCGCTCGCGCGCGCGCGCGCGCGCACACACACACACACACACACCACGTGCCCTTCAAAGCAGAGATCCTGTTCACACTGCCTCCAAGTCAGCTAGCTCTTGGCCCTCCCACATCCTCTCTCTTGTGTATGCCCCTTTGAGGCTGGATTTCTTCTATGGGTTACCCAGGGCACACTCATTTCTAGACCCCAAAGCATCCTTCACCCCTGTGTGCGTGCGTGCGTGCACGTGTGTGTTTTAACCAAATGAAGTTGACAAGAAAGGTGTATGTTGGGGCTGCAGGATTCCTAGTGTAGTAGAAGCACTGTATAGATAAAAATGTTGATATATATATGTTTGTGTATGTATATATCAAACCAAATTTCTGATAGGAAAAGTATAGCTTTATGGTTGAGAAGGAAGAGGAGCCCTTTAGAGGTTGGAGCGAGCCTCGATCTGTCCAATGAGCAAGGTGCATCCTGTCCCTTCACCCGCGTCCTGTCCCAGCACCCAGCCCTTGCCGTCCACCTCGACTCAGCAGAGCTGGGAGACCTGAGGGCAGGAGGAGAGAGGACACAGATACAATGACTGCATTTTCCTTCCCAGTTTGCTCTGACCACATGTATTGAGCTGCAGCCCGATATGATATCACATTTCAAACAAGGCGGTGTGAAGATGGCGGGGGGGGTCTGTAGCAATGCTTCCCTTTTAGCCCTCTGTGAGTTCAGGACACTGTGGACAGACAGACACACTCCCTACACAAGAACAGGGAAGAGGGGACCTGGCAGTGCTCACTCCCCAGTCCAAGGAACGAGGGTCCCTCCCCGCAGGTCACCTCACCCAGACAAGTCTCCACCAGGTCATCTCAGCTCAATCCTATAACCCCTGAAAGCCCTGGCCCACCGTGTCCCTCACTGTACGGTTTCTGTAACGCAGTGTTATCCATGTTAATCTGTGTGGGAGTTACGTGCAACAGTATTTTCTCGTGTACCTCTTCTCCTCTGTGACGTGTCCCTCTTCTTTTATTTATAAATGTCTACTTTTTTTAAAAAAAAAAAAAAAGACAGACCAGTGTGTCGTAGACCTCTCTGTAACCTGTTCCTTAGTCTCACTATAGGTATGTTATAAGGATGGATATTTTACTTGGCTTTAGAATGTTTTTCAAGAAAACTAACTCTTAACTGATGAAGTTGTTGCTACTAAAATGCTTGTTTTCATCATGATGTCGTGCGCTTCTAAATTAATCATCATTTTCGTTGTAGAAAAATGGAGTGAATTTATATTAGTCTTGGAAACTAATAATAGCATTGTAAATTTATGAGATGATTTTAACAGAAAAAAAATTATAGAAGAATATAGTTATTTTAATTGTAATATTACTAACTGTAGGGTGAGGAAGGGGGTCTGTTGTGGTGAACTCTGTTATAGCTTGTTACTCAGTTTCTTTTTGATCATTTTTTCGGTCTCTGAGGTGAAGCGAGTTATTAATGGAATCTGTAAACTCACATATGCATATTGTATATGTGTAGAGATGTGATCACACTGTCTTGGAATTACATTAAACTGTTTGGAATCACTGTACTTTGCCCAGTAGCGTCCTTATGCAGAGCCTCACTAGAGGGCGCCGTTGCAAGTAACGTCTGCAAGAAAGTTCTTTAGCCTTTCCAAACTGCTGGCAACCCTCACTCTGAAAACTAGAGATGTCCGAACGGCTGCAGAGAGGTGGGCCTTGCGGTCATTTCACTGCCAATTACTGATCCTCATTGTCTCTTCCAAGACATCCCCTCCCTGAGACTCAAGGCACCACTGTCCCTGCTGTCTGTCAGCTTGCCAACAGGTCTACACTCTGCTCTTCTGCCCTCAACTCCAGACCACCTCAGTGAGTCACAGCCCCACTGCCAGGGCTGCCATTCCAGAGGGAGGGGGGACAGGGAGGGGGAGAGGGAGAGCATGTATGTGGGAGTACACACACACCCCACACACCCTCCCCTAGTCACAGCTCCTGGATTCAGTGATTTGGTTTGATTTGGGGTTTTTTGTTGTTGTTTTTTGTTTGTTTGTTGTTTTTGCCAAATATCTACAAAATCTGCCATTCCTTTCTCTCCAGCCTATCAAACACCATTGCATTCTGGCCTTACAACTTGCCTGGTCCATGTACTTCATGTACATGCAGCCATTCGTTATTGTATGCCTGGCTTATTTTAGAATAATGCTTTTCGGTTCACTCATGTTATAGCATGGAGCAGAGCTTACTCTTGCAGATTGAATAGCATGTTATAGCATGGGTCAGAACTTACTCTTGCAGATTGAATAGCATGTTATAGCATGGATCAGAGCTTACTTTTGCAGATTGAATAGCATGTTATGGGGCATGGGTCAGAACTTACTCTTGCAGATTGAATAGCATGTTATGGGGCATGGATCAGAACTTACTCTTGCAGATTGAATAGCATGTTATAGCATGGAGCAGAACTTACTCTTGCAGATTGAATAGCATGTTAAAGCATGGATCAGAGCTTACTCTTGCAGATTGAATAGCATGTTATAGCATGGAGCAGAGCTTACTCTTGCAGATTGAATAGCATGTTATAGCATGGAGCAGAGCTTACTTTTGCAGATTGAATAGCATGCTATGGGGCATGGATCAGAACTTACTCTTGCAGATTGAATAGCATGTTAAAGCATGAATCAGAGCTTACTCTTGCAGATTGAATAGCATGCTATGGGGCATGGATCAGAACTTACTCTTGCAGATTGAATAGCATGCTATGGGGCATGGATCAGAACTTACTCTTGCAGATTGAATAGCATGTTATGGGCATACCACATTTTGCATGAACATCTTGCCACTGTGAACTCTGGGGAACAAAATTCTCTTGAAACCCCTGCTTTTGACTCTTTCAGATGTGTCCTATAGAGGTGGGGTTCCCGGATCATGTGACAGCTTCATGGTAACGCTTAAGGAGCCATCCGAGCATCCCCCCATCTTCAGCGTGCCGTTTCCACAGGACCTCCTGCCTACTAATCTTCTATGCGCCTCCTCCTCTTCCTCCTCCACCTCCTCCTCCTCCACCTCCTCCTCCTCCTCCACCTCCTCCTCCTCCTCCTCCTCCTCCACCTCCTCCACCTCCTCCACCTCCTCCTCCTCCTCCTCCACCTCCTCCACCTCCTCCTCCTCCTCCACCTCCTCCACCTCCTCCTCCTCCTCCTCCTCCACCTCCTCCTTCTCACCACGGCTTCTGCAGTCTCTGCCTTTTGCTTCCGCTGTGGATCCACCAGACCATCCGACTGCTCAGCTCCTGAGATCTGATGGCGCAAACCCCGACCTCATAGACCAAACCAGCAGACCCCGACCTCATAGACCAAACCAGCAGACCCCGACCTCATAGACCAAACCAGCAGACCCCGATCTCATAGACCAAACCAGCAGACCCCTGACCTCATAGACCAAATCAGGAGACCCCGATCTCATAGACCAAACCAGCAGACCCCTGACCTCATAGACCAAACCAGCAGACCCCGATCTCATAGACCAAACCAGCAGACCCCTGACCTCATAGACCAAACCAGCAGACCCCGATCTCATAGACCAAACCAGCAGACCCCGATCTCATAGACCAAACCAGCAGACCCCTGACCTCATAGACCAAATCAGCAGACCCCTGACCTCATAGACCAAACCAGCAGACCCCTGACCCTGCAGACCTGACCTCATAGACCAAACCAGCAGACCCCCAACCCTGCAGACCACTGACCTCATAGACCAAACCAGCAGACCTCTGACCCTGTAGACTACTGATCCTACAGACCACTGACCCAGCAGACCCCTGACCCTGTAGACCACTGACCCAGCAGGCCCCTAACCAAGAAGACCCTCAATACTAGATTCCCCAACTTCCTGACCCATGAAGACAAATGGCCTGTGGCTCTAGCCTGTACGTATAGACCCCTGTGGCTGATTAGAACATCCCCTTTCCAATACCTTACTCCTTAGATTCCAGTCTCCAGGGTGACCAGAGAAACCTACAGCTTCCTTAACCCAGTTCCTCTCCGACTCCAGTCAGCCTCACCGCTGCCCGCCTTTCCTCCGGCGTCCTGGCCACTCAGCCAGAGGCTGCAGCACCTGAACTGCCCAGCAGCAACCCAGCCTCCACCCTGAGAAGCAGATCAGCGGATCCAAACCTCCCTCCAGTACTGAGACCACCCCTCAGCATTCCCTTGTTACTTATTGGTTGATTTAGGGTGTCTGAATGTGAACACAGGCCACACAGGCCTTGAGCATGTTAGGAAATAACTCTAATGCTGAGTACATCCCCACCCTTTATTTTTTGTTTTTTGAATATTGAGAAAGAGTCTTGCTAATTTACTCAAACTGACCTCAAACTCACTGTAGAGTTCAACCAGTTCTTGAACTTGTGACCCTCCTGCCCCAGCTTCCCCAGTATCTGGGGCGACAGGCACATGCCACCAGGCTCGGCTCACCATTTTTTAAGTATGTGTCCACTTAAATTCATAGAGAAATGCCATATAGGGTATCTTCTACGAGGACATTGCATCTGTCAGCACTTCTAAAGCAATGCTGGACTCCAGGCCCCCTTATGGTAAAGACACTTGACATGTGTGTCATTTATATTCTGTTTCAGTGGTGTCTTGGGTTTTATGGCAGTGGCTCGCTCTCTCAAAATCTTTACCAATGGACCGGGGCTGCTTGTGAGAGAAACGCTTAAGCCTTAAACAGGTGGAAGGCCAGAGGCAAAGGAAAATCCAGGAGGCGGCCCCACTGAGTGGGGGAAAGACAGCTATCTGTTTTAAGCTGCCACAGGTCACTGAGATGGACAGCGAGCTGTGTGCTTGGTCCCGGTCTGGTTCAACTCCAGGATCTCTCCTTTTATCCCTGGGACATATGGGAAGCCCCTAGGCCTCTGGTGCCTCAGTATGTGACCTAGCATGTACAGATTGGCCAGGCAGCGCCCCCAAACCCTTGTCATTGAAAGTATTGGTTTGTTATTGCTATTAAGCCTATTTCAATGGAGAAATCACTCCCTGAAAGGGACTGCCTTCTACAATAAAATCTAAAGTAACTGAGATGACCCAAGTGGGCAGATGGTGCCTGCTGCCAAGCCTGAGGGCCTGGGTTTGATCCCCGGACCCACATGGTGGAAGGAGACGATGAGGTCCCACCGTCCTGTGCAAGCACAACATAGCTCAACATACATGCACTAAAAATGTTCTTGAAACATACAAAGTGTAATGTGTGGCATTAACTTGGCAGGTGAAGAGAAAAATAAGAAATTGATTTCAGGGCTAAAAATTTTGTGGTCCAGGTAAGGCTTGACTAAAACCTGAACCAAGATGAAACACTAGCAAAAACTGAAGCCAGATGGCTCCCCAGCTCCAGGAGGAGTGCCCACAAAAAGCTGACACCATCGCCTTGCAGCAAGGTTTTGGGGGGTTTTGTTGTTGGTTTGGTTTGGTTTAGTTTTTCAAGACAGGAATTCTCCTGGAACTCACTCTGTACACCAGGCTGGCCTCAAACTCATGGAGATCCTCCTGCCTCTGCCTCTGCCTCTGCCCCTCTGCCCCTCTGCCCCTCTGCCCCTCTGCCCCTCTGCCCCTCTGCCCCTCTGCCCCTCTGCCCCTCTGCCCCTCTGCCCCTCTGCCCCTCTGCCCCTCTGCCCCTCTGCCCCTCTGCCTCTGCCTCTGCCTCCATAGTGCTGGAATCAAAGATGTGCTCCAAGGCATATTCCACCACTGCCCAGCAAGTTTTTTTGTTTATTTTATTTTACTTTTTGTTGTTGTTGTTTAACTCTTATCTATTTTTCTCAGCAAGGTTTCATAAGAGGTAACATTAAGCAGGAATCAGACAGGCATGATGTTGAACACCCTTAATCCCGGTACTATGGAAGCAGAGGCAGGCAATCTCTCTGAGTACAAGGCCAGTCTGGTCTACATAATGAGAGCTGAGAGGAGGGGCAAGAGACATTCCTCCGTTTAAGAATAAGCAAAAGAAAAAGAAATTCAGAATGTGAAAGAATGTACCAGCAAAAAGGTTCAACAAGGAAAGAAGGTAGGCATGGCCCACACAATCCCAGCACTCAAGACGGAGAGTTCAGGGCCAGCCTGGACTATGTAAGACCCCGGAGAGATGGTGCAGAATGGAAGAAAGGGGAGAGACACGGTTGTCGCAACAAAACATAAGCAAACTCAACTGAACGAATGATCTGGGCCTCCAGCCAATGCCAAGATTGCAACATGGCAACCCATATATATCACCCCCAATTACATGAAGACTGGACCAATAGGCTAACGGAAAAACATAGACAGAGCCAGCAGAAGAAGAAGAAATAAATTAGGCATCCCTGAAAACCTGGGAAGGGACTTTGATGGGTGCAGATGCTCAAAAGTATATGGCGTCTCCAAGGAAACGGCGTTGCCATAGAAACCTCATCCTGACTCTACAGTTCAGGAATTCGTCCTGCAGTTTGCTTCAGCAGCAGAGCCCTGAGACAGGTCCTAGGCTGGTACAGCAGGCAGCTAGAGCTGGGCAGCCTACACACTGACCGCTGCAGAGGCGGTCAAGGGCAGCAACAGAACGGGAGGGTCTGCACAGGGCGGGACTCAACTGCACAGCCTGCCAAGGAGCAAACAAAGACCCCACCCGAGGGAGCAGGGAAGGATTCTCGGCCTGGCTCCCCAGAACCTGGCTGCAGGATCCAGATTTTACATCCTCCCGGGATGAATCTCAGAACTTCTGCAAGCCAGTGGATCTCAGTAGGCATCTCTTTTGCAATTATCCTACCTTTAGCCTGTTTCACACTAAAGACAGGCATGGTGGCGCACGCCTTTAGTACCAGTACACAGGAGGCAGAGGCAGGCAGATCTGTGAGTTCAAGACCAGCCAGGTCTACACAGAGTTCTAGGATGGCCAGGACTCTGTCTCAAGGCAGGTGGAGGACAGTCAGGACAGTAGGCAGACAGATGAGGTTGTTTAACTCAAAGGAGATGTTAGAAGGTTTCCCTCCAGCAGGCCATGGACAGGGGTGGTGCAGCCTTGTTTCTGCTGGAGAGATGGCTCAGCGGTTGAGGGCACTGGCAGTGCTTCCAGGGGACCTGGTTCAATTCCCAGCACCCACAGGGCAGCTCACAACTGTCTTAACTCCAGTCCCGGGCAGTGTGATGCCCTTTTCTGGCCTCTTCAGGCACTGCACACACATGGTCCCCACACATACATACAAGCAAAAACCCACTACATGTAAAATGAACCCCCCAAGAATAAGAACCCATGGAAGCCACAGGTGAGGAGACGTTAGAGCCACACCAGCCTCGACTGGAATGGCCAAGCTTACACTTCCTCAGACAAACTTTGAGTGAAAAAACAAGCCATAAATGATAATGACGCCAGGCGTTGGTGGCACACACCTTTAATCCCAGCACTCAGGAGGCAGAGGCAGGCGGATCTCTGTGAGTTCAAGGCCGGGCTGGTCTACAGAGCGAGTTACAGGACAGCCTCCAAAACAATACAGAGAAACCCTGTCTCGAAAAAACAAACAAAAAAAGATAGATAATGGCCCTTGGTTCAACATAATGAACAAAAATTTAGAAGAGTCCCCAGAAACACATTATTTTACTCCACAAGATTTTCACGGGGTTCCGGGCTTTTGAGATGCAGCCACACAGAGGAAGGCCATGGAAGACTGTTGGCCTCATGAGCCAGAGGTGGGGGGAGTGCCGTGGTCCCTGGAGGCTAAAAGAGTCTCCAGGAGGCAAGAGCTCTGCTCTGAAGAGCTCAGATGCCACTCTTTATGCCACCTCCTTGGTGTGTCATTCTTAGGAAAGAGAGAGAGGAGAGACAGACACAGAGAGAGAGAGAGAGAGAGAGAGAGAGAGAGAGAGAGAGAGAGAGAGAGAGAGAGAGAGAATATCTTCCCTGCCTCACAGCTCCTAAGAATCGCTTAAACCCAAAAGGCCGCTACTTGTTGTTCAGATTGTCCTTTTATCTGCCTCTCAGGTGACAACAAAACTATCCACTGTGTGACTGACGCAGAGCCAAACTGCCCCGACCCCTCCAAAGTCTCCCCTTAGCGTCTTCCAGCACCCCAAAGCCCAGCTGCGCTCTGCCCATACAGAGCCCTTGCCTGCTCCGTTCTGAGGCCCAGGCTGGGGTGTGGGATGGAAACTGCCTAGTGAGACCGAGGAAGAGGCACAGGGAGCCACCCTGGCACCGCCCGAGCCAGCACAGACCACTAGCAGATGGGGTCCTGAACTAGCTGGGTGTAACCGTGAATGGAGCCCCCGCTCTGTCCCAGTGCGGGAGAAGGAAGCCGGCCATGCTCGGTTTCACCTGGGATTTCCTTACCTTAGCCCCTAGGAACAGATAACGGAGGGGATTTCTTTTAATGTTTTAAAGTTGTTTAATATCAGTGACTCAGAAGCCTGTGGTCCCAAGATGAGCCCAAAGTTAGGAAAGCTGTTTTGTCTGGTGGCCTTAAAGCCTCGGGCAGTGGACTTAGAACGTTTTTTTTAATTATATGTATTGTTGTTTCTGTACGTCTGTGCATCACGTGCTGGTGTCTGCAGAGGCCTGGCCTGGGATCCTGTCTTAGTCCATGTTCTACGGCTGCAAAGACACCATGGCCTTGTAAAGGAAAGCATTTAATTGTGGCTGGCTTACACTTTCTGAGGTGTAGTCCCTCGTCCTTACGGCTGGAAGCATGGCGGCATGCAGGCAGACGAGACAACTGAGAGTTCTCCGTCTACACCCGCAGACAGCAGGAAGAGAGAGGGAGACCCTGGGCCTGGCTTGGGCTCTGGAAACCTCAAAGCCCAGCTCCAGTGGCACAAGTCCTCCAACAGGGCCACGCCTCCTGATCCCCGTCCAGCAGTGCCACTCCCTAACGACCAGACATGACTTGTAAAGCAACCTTGTTTCTTATCTAAATTTAAACTGGAAAATAAAATAAAAAAATAAATGAAAAATAAAAAACCTGTGAGCCTATGGACCATTCCTATTCAAACCACCATAGACCCTCTGGGATTTAGAGTTGCCACGGGCAGTTATGAGCCACCGCGTCAGTGCAGGGACCTAAACCCAGATCCTCTGCACGAACAGTAAGTGCCGTGACCACTAAGGCATCTCTCCAGCCCAGAGAGCATTTAGTAAGATGTGAAAGGTCACCTCTGAGCTCTCCAGCCCTTCCAGAGACTTCGATGACCAAACACAGATTAGAGACAGTCTACCAGATGCCTGGCCCTTAACCACACTAATAAGTGGGGGGCACCCCCAGAATTCCCTAGCCAATTGTCCTACATCCTACCCTCCCACTGACTTCCCTTGAAGACCCAAATTACCCATATCTGAAAAAATACCTAGAAAGCACACAGACAAATTAACAGGAATGAGTAGTTTTGTCTGAACACTATACTCAGAGGAGTGAACAGGACCCTGTGGGCTGCATTTTGCCTCTGAGGTTTTTTCTGAAACGGGCCAGGACCCAAATGCCGAGACTCAGATCCCAGGCAGCCATCCATGCCACACTTGGCTGCAGTCACCAGCAGGAAGTCAGGCCAGGCTCCACTGCAGGCTGCATGGTGATGGGGGCTCCCCAGGGCCCCTCCAGCCCCTCACCAGGCAAACCTGGGTACCTAAGACCAGAGGACCCTCAAAGCTCATACCCAGCCCAACACGAACGTCACCAAATCTGTTCCACTCACATCATCCCATCCTCCCCCAAGCAGAATAAACCATTCTTCTAGAATGTTCCAGCACATTCTAGAGCTCACTAGTTCCTCTCTTCTCCCTATATGTTTCCGGGGGGCATACGGACACAGATTCCCACAAGCCTAGCATGGTGTCTGTCGCATGGCAGGTGTCTTGGTCAGGATTTCCACTGCGGTCATGAAACGCCGAAGCACCGTGATTAAAAGCAACCTGTGGCTGGGCGTTGGTGGCACACGCCTTTAATCCCAGCACTCGGGAGGCAGAGGCAGGCGGATCTCTGTGAGTTCGAGACCAAGCCTGGTCTACAGAGCGAGTTCCAGGACAGCCTCCAAAGCTACACAGAGAAACCCTGTCTCGAAAAAAAAAAAACCAAAAAGAAAAAAAAAGAAAAGCAACCTGTGGAGGAAAGTCCTTGTTTTCCTACTCTGACAGCGCTGCCCATCACATCAGGGCAGGAGCTCAAGCAGGACAGGAAGCTGGAGGCAGGAGCTGATGCAGAGGCCATGGAGAGGAGCTGCTCACTGGCTTGCTCCCCATGGCTTGCTCAGCCTGCTTTTTTTTTTTTTTTTTTTTTGGTTTTTACGAGACAGGGTTTCTCTGTATTGTTTAGGAGGCTATCAGTCCAGCCCGGCCTCGAACTCACAGAGATCCGCCTGCCTCTGCCTCCCGAGTGCTGGGATTAAAGGCATGCGCCACCAACGCCCGGCTTCAGCCTGCTTTCTTATAGAACCCAGGACCACAGCCCAGGGATGGCTCCACCCAGGATGGACTGGACCCTCCCCCATCAATCACTAACTAGGAAAACATCCTACAGGCTCGCCTGCCTACAGCTGTGGAAGCATTTGAGGTTCCCTCCTCTCAGATGACTCTGTAGACATAAAACTAGTCAATACAGCTGACCCCCTTGCGAACTAAACACAAACATCACTTTTCAATTACAACCTTTCCTTCTCATTTGTCACCAAGATGGCATGTTAACAAAATATTGCAATTTAAATCATAAAAAACTTTAAAATTTTCACAGTCTTTACAAATTCTAACACTTTAAAAATTCAGCCTCAGCAGGCGATGGTGATGCACACCTTTAATCCCAGCACTCAGGAGGCGGAGGCAGGCGGATCTGTAAATCCCAGACCAGCCTGGCTTACAGAGAGTTCCAGGACAGCCAGGACTACACAGAGAAACCCTGTCCAAACAACAACAACGAAAGTTCAGCCTCTAAAATGTCAGGTCTCTTTTAAAATCCGAAGTCTCTTAAAACTCTTTACAAGTTCAGTCTCTCAACTGTGGGCTCCAGTAAAATAAAATAAATGCTTTCTTATTCCTAGCGGGGAGAACCAGACACAGTCACAGTCAGAACACAGCAAAACTCCAGCAGTGTAAACAACTCAGCACCCGGTGTCTGGGATTCACTCACGCTATTGGGGTCCAAAGGGCTTCCCGCAGCACCCACACCTGTCTGCTAGGCTCGGGCAGGCTTCACTCCATAGCTGCTGCTGCTGCTGCTATTGGCAATTGTCCCATGGCCGTTGGGAGTCTCCAAAATGCTGGCGTCCACGGCTGCAATCGAGCTAGTGTAACCTGAACTCGGCGTGACCCTCCAGTCCTGGGGCTTCAGCTGCTACTGAGGCTGCACCTTCACCAGCTGCATCTCCTGGTCTCTCCCGCGCCAAGCCTCAGCTGCTCTCCATGACCCCTTTGTGCCTGCAAAACCAGCACCACCTGGGACACTCTGACAGGCGACTCCTGGAGCTGCCCTCGCCAGGTCCAACCTTGCCTGCCTTTAACACAGCTCCTGCGTGCGGAAACGCTTCACCTCGGGGATGCTGGGCTCTTCTCAATCACTGCTAATTTCTCGGCTCCAGCCGACCAGCATCAACTGTCCCGGAAGAGCAAAGACTTCACTGCAGCGGCTCTGTTACCTTGTTCCCGTCACAGCTTCAGCTGACAGGAATCATGGGATCTCAACTCAAAATAGCAGGCGCCCCTGATAGTCTTTAAGGGGCTCTCAAAGGTCCCTCTGGAGAAGTCAGGCCCCCACAGTCTGCATTGCCCCCAACATTCTTACCTTCTAAGCTCCCACAGAACAGCCCACGAGGTTTAACACTCAATGGCTCTTCCAACCCAGAGATACAAACCCCTTCCACGGTCCCCCCCAAATCACACGGTCAGGTCTGTCACAGCCATACCCCACTATCCTGGTACCAGTATGTTTCAAAGTTTCTGTGGCTGTGATGAATTCCGGGACCAAAAGCATCTTGGGGAGGAAAGGATTTATTTGACTTAAGCTTCCCTGTCACTGTTCATCACCGAGGGAAGTCAGGGCAGGAACCCGGAGGCAGGAGCTGACGCAGAGGCCGTGGAGGAGCTGCTCACTGGATTGCTCCCCATGCTCAGTTGGCTTTCGTATAGAACCAGGACCACCACACCAGAGATGGCACCACCCACAATAGGCAGGGCCCTCCCCATCAACAGTAACTCAGAAAACGCCCGCCAGGCTTGTCTACAGCCTCATCTTCTGTGGCATTTTCTCCACTGAGGTTCCCTCCTCTTAAATGACTCCAGCCCAGTAGGTGTGAATGAGCATTTGTCACATGGAGTCAAAAAGTAAGGAAGACACCAGAATGGAGTCCACCCTTCACCCGGCTGAGAGAAACATCGGCACCACCAACATTAAATGAAGCCCGGGCTGGGAAATGTGTCCCATTTCGTTGCTCATCTTGTCATCCTAGGTTCCCACACGCTGCTGCTTGTCGGGCTGGCACAAGCACATCTTTCTGGTGGCCCCCGCAGACCGCCCGTCTGCCCCTCCCCCAGCTGTGACCCTGAAACAAATGCAGCGGACTCATGGACGCAGTTATGCCTTTATTCCGTTAGTGGCCAGTACAACAGCACCAGAGCACAGCAGGGATCCTGCCTGAGGAACCTGGGAGGCGGGGAGGACAGAGACAGGGGCCTCCCGCCCTGGCTGCTCTCTCCAAGGCGCAGAGGAAGCTGTGCCTGCCTGCCTCCCCCAGCAACCTGAGAGAATCCACTGGGGAGGGCAGGCTGCTGAGCCAAAGCCGTGTGATCCACGTCAGCCCCCTTCTGCCCGCCTGCCCGGAAGCACCAGGCTGCAGCGAGGAAGCTCCCAGGCAGAGCCAAGGAAGGGCGACCTGTTACAAAGGGCCTGCGTGTGCGATGTGTGCGTGCGTGCACACGTGTGCACACTCGTGTGTATGGGGGCAAGACGTCTACACTACTCGGCACGTGAGCTATAACTGCTAAGCCGCAGGGCCTGCCTGGGGACAAGAGAGGCCAGGGACGGGGCCTCGGAGCGCTGGAGCCAGGGGGGGACAGCGGCAGAGGCCACCTGCCCCGCGGCTTCCATTCAGAGAGGCGGCGGCTCCTGCTGGGAGCAGGGGGTAGAAAAGACCCTGCCCTGGGCCTGGGCAGCGGGGGGCCACCTCGAGCCCGAGCTCATCACGTGTAGGCCATCTTGCTGCACACCCAGGGCCGGGTGGCCAGACACTCTGTAGACACCAGCCTGGTGGGCTCCACAAAGACGCACTCCCCCATCCCCGAGATGGCGAATCTGTGACACGAGAGAAAAGATCAAGGCTCGCCCTCAGGCAGCCCACCACAGGGGGCCCCACGGGCCCCACCCTCCCTCGCCCTCAGGCAGCTCACCACAGGGGGACCCACGGGCCCCACCCTCCCTCAAGTCCTCCCTGGAGTATCTTCCAAGACAGCACCTTTCTAGCTGAGTCCCCCCTGTGCCAGCCTGTGCTGCAGCCATTGGAGCTAACTTCAACACACCAGCCGCCAGGGCTCCCTGCTTCCTCATCCCTGTCTCCCTTCTGAGGTCAGCTTCAGGTGCCAGTCCGGAGGCACTCTCCCGGAGAACCCTGTCTGCACCGTGAGGCACCTTCTGCCACAGCCTCCAGGGGCTGTGTCCGTCCCCACCCTGTCCCCAAGGCAGCCAGCCGCCCAACAGGGTGTGGTCTCCACGCCCTGCTCCTCCTGGTTCCCTCACAGTACTCAGTGTCTGGCACCCTGTAAAAGCTCAGGAATGTCGTCACCCTGGAAGGACAGAGCAGCGAGGCCTGGAATCCACCAAAACCACACAGGGCCCTGGGAGGATTCCATAGAAACCGCGCTTGTTCACCCGTCTCTGCTCCCTGGCAGCTGGGTGGGTGGCACCCTAGGGAATGTCCCTGCCCAGTTGGTCAGCACTCGAGACCCTAGCCCCCAGAACTCCCTGGGACAATAACAGCGGGAGTCTCCAGAAAGGCAAAGAACGGTTCTCCCATGGTGTTGCCTGGAGGGACAAAGAGACACTGAGGGGCTGGGGAAGAGGTGACACCCTGAGCCGGAATGACAGGGAAAGACTCGGGAAAGGCTTCTGGTGGGAGCTGGGCTCGGGTGGGCCACACGCATCACCAGCCCTGCTGCCGGGGCCCTGCCCACATCAGCCACTGCCTTGGGGACACTCCTGCCGTCGCCATCAGATTGTCAGCCACGCGCTCTCTGAGCTGGCACCCTAGCGCACAATGCTCCCCAGGTAGAGTCTGGACTGGAAGCAGAAGTGACCTGCCTGCCCTAACCTACCCAGCCTCCACACACACACACACACACACACACACACACACACACACACACACACACACACACACACACACACACGGCAGCGGACCGCACACAATCACACTCGCCACACCCGAGATCCCTGCCGCATCACTTGGGCCCACACAGCACCCCCAGCCCCTCCCTTAGGGCACCTGTGCCAGAAGAGGCTGTCACAGAAAAAAAAGTGATCAGTAATGACAAGTGAGCAATGTGCTTAGAGTTTCTGTCTTCGTTGCCACATTGCATTTAGGGCCCACTACCTACGGAAGTCACCATCCATCGTCCCTCGCAACCAGGTGTGTACGCGTGACTAGGTTCTGGCCAACAGGAGCGGCACAGATGACCCCATCTATGTCACAGAGAGAGGACGCCTGCGCCTTTCACCAAGAAGCTCCGTGACGGCAGGCCTACCAAACCAGGCTGGACTTGGAGGGAAATCAGAACACTTTCATAAAGGGTCTCCAGCCAGACACCCGCCCCCCACTTGCCCTAGAGACCCATCAACTCTAGCTGGCTCAAAACCACACATTATCTGCCTGAGCCGCCTCTGGGCTGACATCTTGTCTAAGCTCATCTCTCTTCTAGAAAATGGAGTCCCAGCTCACGTGTCTGGGTCAAACGGGTCCCCGTTGACCCAATGGAAGTCGTCTCCAACTCGGCGCAGGCCAATCCAGGGCTCCCTCCGTGTGAACTTGAACATAAATTCCTGCAAAAGGAAAGAGAGAAGCCCGGGCATGGAGTTGCAGTTTTGTCACTGCTGCAGGGCCCAAGCTGGGGATGGGCCTGGACAATGCTGGCTCTGGAGAGATGCGAGTGCCAAGATGAGGCGTCACCTTGGAAACGTGAGGACCAATGACTGCAGAACCCCGGGCAGCCACACTGCAGGAGCCAGACCGGAACAGCCTCCCACGCTTGCCACAGATGTCCCCAACAACTTCAAAAGGGTCCCATCCCCCAGTTTGCCTGGCCCACAGGATAGGTTATCCTACCTGCGCCTCTGGAACGTTCTCAGACAGTGGCACAGAAACGTTGTGCATCGCAGACAAACAGAAATAGGTTTTGAGACCCACTCCTATTTCAGAGGTGGGCAGCACTGTGTCACAACATCCAAGGTGACCGTGAGGTCAGGGGCTCCGTCTCCCCCTTAGAGTAAGCACGGGCCTGAGGGTCCCGGCTCCCGACCCAGGTGCTCACCAGTTCCTTCTGGCTTTGGATCACAGCCAGTGCGGCCTCATGGGTGTGGCAGTACTGCCTCCCCGTGTTCCAGTCTCGGGGCTCCTCCGAGAAGTAGTAGCATTTCCTTCCGTAGAGCAGCCACTCCTCAGGGCAGGGCGACTCACACTTGATGCAGCCCTTGGAAGCTGCGAGGAGGGAGAGGGGTGAGAGCTTCCGAGTGCGCCCTGCACTGCCAGGTCCCCACTGACCCCCCAGTCCTTTCCCATTCCTTCCCTCCAGGGACACCGCTGTGCCTCAGCGAGGAGTTCCAGATGACAAGGACAAGAAGAGGGCGCTGAGGAAGCTGGCCACTGTGTCGCCATGGGGGACCGTAGAGGGACAAACCGTAGAAAGACCTCTCTCAACCCTGGGAACTCAGGCCGGATGTGACCCGAAGGCCGCATCTCGGCAGCCAGGTGGGACCCTGGCAGGACAGTGTCTCATAACCACGCTCTCCCTCGATGACTAGCTCCATAACCCTGCTCACCACTGGACTTCTAGAAAATTCCTTCTAAATGTGAGTCCTGAGCTGGGCCGATGGCTTGCTCAGTGAGTAAAGACACTTACCCCCTCCCCCCAGCCTGCCAGCCTGAGCTGCATCCCCGGGACCCAAGCAGCGGGAGATGAGGGCCTGAGAACTAACTCATGAATGTTGTCCCCTGACTTGTACACCCACGACCCCACCACTAAGTATAGGTGTAAAAAATATTTTTAAGTGGGGGCTGGAGAGATGGCCCAGAGGTCAAGAGCACTGGCTGCCCTTCCGAAGAATCTGGACTCAATTCCCGGCAACCACATGGTGGATCACAGCTGTCTGTGAGTCCTGTTCTAGGGGATCCCATGCTCTCTTGGGCCTTCCAAAGTTCACATGGCACACACACATACATACACACACACACACACACACACACACACACACACACACACACACTCTTTCCTGGGAAAGCAGTTCAGAATGTCTGCCCACCCTCCAAGACCTCTTATCCATGTATTTAGTTACACTCTGCATCTCCTGGAGACCGGAACACATGCTAATCCAAAGCCAGAAGTGTGTATGGCTTTGATTTACATATTTCTCCTCCTTGTGGGCTCATCTCAGGTTTGATTTGGTTTCACTATTTAGCCCCGGCTGGCCTGGACCTCACTATGCAAACCAGGCTGGCCTCAAGCTCACAGAGATCTGCTTGACTCTGCCTCCCAAGCTCGGGGATTAAAAGCATGAGTCACAAGGCCTGGTTCATTAGTTTTATAGGTAAGTTTTAGTTTTGGACTTTGACACCATCTCATGTCACCAAAGCTGACTGTAGCAGTGTGAATGTAACTGTCACCCAAAGGTTACAGGAGTGGCACGATTAGGAGGTGTGGCTTTGATGGAGTGGGTGTGGCCTTCTTAGAGGAAGTGTGTCACTGTGGGCGTAGGCTTTGAGGTCTCCTGTGCTCAAGCTATGCCCAGTGTCTCAGTTCACTTCCGGTTGCCTGCAGCTCAAGATGCATCAGCTCCTTCTCCAGAGCCTTGTCTGCCTGCACGCTGCCTTATCCCACCGGGATGACAGTGGACTGAACCTCCGAACTGTAAACCACCCAATTAAATGCTTTCCTTTATAAGAGTTGCCATGGTCACGGCATCTCTCCAAAGCAATACAACAGTGACTAAGACACTGACTTCAATTTCTCGAAAACTGACCTTGGACCCCTGATCCTCCTGCCTCTGCCTCTCCAATCGTGGGCTACCACGTGTATGCCACTATGTAGGCCTTACAGGTAAATTTTAATCTTTCTTTCCCCTGTTGATCATATGGAATGACACTAACTGCAAATCCCATGAGCATATAAATGATTAATTAAAATACTGAGTAAGATGGGGTCATTCCACCCAAGGAGCTACACTATCCTGGGCATGGACACCAACACACTGCTGGACACGTCTAAGCGCTGACACAGGCCCACTTGGGAGCGCTGTCCATGGTGTAGCCTCTTTCCTGGTTCTCCTGAGAGACAGCTAAGCTTTGCTGGAAGCACCAAAGCTGTGTCCACACAGGACCTGCTGACCTGCTGACCTGCTGACCCAGGACAGGGCTGGAGGGAGAACCATTGCTCTGTAGCCTTATCTAGGCAAAGCTGATCTGGCCCCATGGCTCTCAGTCCACTTGTAAATATATTCGGCCCCTCTGCTTGTCAAGCAAGTTGGACAAGGGAGGTCTTAGTAGAGACTGATAGTGTAAGTGGATTTTCACCATCTTAATGAGACTGTCTACTCCTGGTCCAACTGCTTTCTAAAGATGAAGGAGGCTGGAGAGATGGCTCAGCGGCCAAAAGCACAAGTGCTCTGGCAGAGGACCTGAGTTCCGCTCACAGCACCCACACGAGGCGGCATAAAACTGCCTGTGACTCCAGGGGATATGATGCCCGCTTCTGACCTACACACACGCACACACAGGCACACACACGCACTCACGCGCACACACACGCTATAAAAATAAAACACTTGAAGGTTGAGGACAAGAGGGTAGGCGCTTGCCTTGCATGCACAAGGCCTGAGTCTGATCCCCAGCATTGCATAAGCCAGGTGTGGTGACACACACCAGCCAGACCTGGTGTGGCACAGAATACCCTTAATCTTGCACTGGGGAGGTGAAGGCAGTCAGACCAGGAGTTCAGAGCCAGCCTCAACAACACCGGGAATTCAAGGCCAACCTGGGCTACATCAGAGCCTGTCTCAAAAAGAAGAGGAAGAGGAGGAGGAAAAGCTTCAGGCCCTTCTGCAGACTCCACAGAGGTCTCTCAGATCACTCACTCATCCCTGTTGGGAGCCTTGCCTGCCCTGCTTTACCTCTGTAAACAGTCAACTACCACACAGTACTCCATGTTTGCAAGCCCCTCCCCCTTGCAATGTTTCCCATGTAGCATTCAGAGTGATCCACTCCTAGCCGGGCAGTGGGGGTGCGCGCCTTTAGTCCCAGCACTGGGGAGGCAGATGCAGTGGATCTCTGTGAGTTCGAGGCCAGCCTGGTCTACAAAGTGAGTACCAGAAATCCAGGGCTACACAGAGAAACCTGTCTGAAAAAACCAAAAACCAAAACAAAACAACAAAATACAGACTATTCCACTCTGAAGGACAACCCTTCAGCATAAGGGTTATTTTGAACTAAATACAACTTAGAATCAACAAGTGTAGGGGAAGCCCCCTCTCCCTCTCTCCCCCTCCCTCTCCCTCTCCCTTCCTCTTCCTCCCTCCCACCCTCTCCCTCCTTCCCTCCATGTAGCAAAGTTCAATAAGTGTTTGTCGAATGAATGTGACATTTAAAGTGTCGTGTCTCCAAATGTCACCTCCAGAGGCTTTGCCTACCTAGCCTGCTCTGAAAGCCCATGGCATTTACAAATGGACTCCTTGGTCCCGTTGCTTCCTGCACGGCCAGTGAATGGGACGTGTACAGTCCATGTGGATTTGTACTATTTCAGGTTACAACCACATTGACAACCAACCACTTTATTTCTGCATTACTGCGAGCCTCCTCCCATTCCTCCGTGTGGAGGCATGTGCCTAGCTGGACCTGCCGGGACCAGGTGTGCCCACTGGGGCACACAGCACGCACAGGCATGTGCGCTGCTGACACACCCTGACATGCACACTCACCCAAGATGCTCATCACCACCAAGATGGCGAACAGCAGGACCGCGATGGCCCCCAGCAGCAGGCGCGTGGTGGTGTCTGAGGAGAAGATGAAAGCAGACGGTGTCAGCTGCCTCTCCAGCCGCCACCGCCGTGGCCAGTCCCAGCAGCGGGAGCCTCATGCGTGGAACCGAGCAAGAGCCGTAACCAGCGCTCGGGATGATGCGATGATGCCTGCCTCTGAGACCACAGCCCCAGCTGCGTCACCCCCGCGGCCCACAGACTCCTTGCTTCTGGGGCGGCCACAGCTTTCTGACCTAGACTCTGCGGTTGCTCTCCCAGCGCATCCCAGGCTCCGCCCATCCTGCCCTAGTAGCCATGAGACAGGATGTCTGCCCCCCGCCCCCCCGTCCTCCTCCACCCATCTGTACCCCAAACCCACTCCCCGGATTCTCCTCGTTTATTTCCACTTAACATCTTTATCATAATAAAGGAAGCTTTTTAGACTTAAAACAGAGGGTTTTCCTATCTTATTGTGGTATGTATCTCATGAGACACATGTAATACGTCATAAAATTTGCCATTTTAACCATCTTAAAGTGCTCAATTACTAGCACCACACAGCCAGGCTGGCCCTGCTATCACGAAACTTTCACGTCTGTGAGCAGAGGCTCTGTACCCACCAACCAGAAACTCTAGCGCTCCATCCCCTAGGCACTGCGGCTCTGCCCGCCTTGTCTCTACTCATTTGCCAATCCTGCTGATTTCACGAGTGGGATCTTGTGGTCTATTTCACCTAACAGGTTCTCAAGACTCATCCATGCTGTGGCATGTAACAGATCCTGACTCCTGTTATGGTTCATCATTTCATTTCATGGATATATCACATGGGGTCTATGCATCTGCAATGGTCAGTTTTGACGGTCAGCGTGACCACCCGTGGAGAGGGTTTCAGTGAAGCCATTGTCTCTATCAGGCCGGGCGTGTCTGGGGGGGTTGCTTTGGCTGTGTTCATTGGTGTGGGAAGAGCCAATGGGTGGCGCTCTTCCCTGGCTTGGGGTCCCTGCCTCAGTGGTGTAAGATTAGAGAATGGGTACTACACCTCTCTCTCTCTCTCTCTCTCTCTCTCTCTCTCTCTCTCTCTCTCTCTCTCTCTCTCTCTCTCTCTCTCACTGTAGAGGTGACAGCTGCTTCAAGCTGCCGCCCTGACTTCCCTGACAACGCTGGACTAGAGCCTGGAACTGTGAGCTGAAATAAATTCTGAACTGTCTCCTGCCTTGAATTTGTCACCACAGCAACAGGAGCGAAACCAGATAGTTGGTAGATACTCAGGTTGCTTTGCTTTGACCACTGTAAATAACACAGGAGTGAACAAATCTGTTGGGACCCCTGCTTCCAATTCTTCGGGGTGCATGGCTAGGAAAACTGTTGGGTCATGCGGTAATTCTGGGTAACCTCTTGAGGAAACATCAGAGCGTTTTCCACAGCGATCATAACATTTACATGTCCATCAGCAAACACTGCAGGGACCCAGTTTCCCAACATGCCAGCATCCACTGTTACCATCATCACGGTTTTCCACAGGATCTTAGAGACATGGATGCCTCTTCCAAACCTTCTGGTTTGGTTCTTCTACCATCTTGACCATTAAATGTACAGATACAGGGCTGCAGGGATGGCTCAGAGTTAAGAGAATGGGCTGCTCTTCCAGAGGACCTGAGTTCAATCCCCAGCAACCACATGGTGGCTCACAACCATCTGGAATGAGATCTGGCGCCCCCTTCTGGTCTGCAGTCAAACATGTAGGTAGAACACTGTATACATAATAAAATCTTTTTAAAAAAAAGTACAGATACACTGGTGGACATCATATTGGTGCTTAGCAACTCAGCATATGAATATTGGGAGGAAATTAACATCCAGTCCAAAACAATTGTCTTAAAGATGTGACCCCTGACCGCCCCACCTGCTTAGTCTGGCTGGCCCCAGCTGCCACCCTGGAGTCTCCCTGAACCTGTGGCCTGAGAGTTCCTTGGCCCCAATCCCGTGTTGCTGTCCTGTTCTTTTTTTTTTTTTTAAAGATTTATTTATTTATTACGAACACAACACCCTGCCCCCATGTACGTCTACACACCAGCAGAGGGCACCAGATCTCATTACAGATGGTTGTGAGCCACCATGTGGTTGCTGGGAATTGAACTCATGACCTCTGGAAGAGCAGTCAGTGCTCTTAACCTCTGAGCCATCTCTCCAGCCCCCTGCTGTCCTGTTCTTTCTCCTGTGTGCTCTCCTCCGTGCCTCCTAGTGGCTGCCCCACTGGGGGGGGGAGGGGGAGATAAGCAAAGTTAAATGTGAACTTCACAACAGTTCACACTCTTCCCGTCTCTCCCCTTGTCCAACAGCTCTCGGTAGCATCTTCAGAGAATCCAGTGCATCACTAAAACAAGAACAGCTGCTTTAAGAAAGGACTCCAAGGCACAGCTGGAGCAAACCCCAAACACCTTAAATTCTCCTTACAGAACTGAAAGCCTGCTAAAAGGGCGAGAGGAGGAAGCTGAAGACATCTTCCCGGAAATAAACCAGAGATAAAGAGATAGGAGGGGGGAGGAAGGAGGAAGAGCAGGTGGAGAGGAGGGGGAGGGAAGGGGACCAATTTAGGAACACAAACATTTGAAGACTTTGACTTTCAGAAGGAAGTCAGAAAAGGAAAGCGAAGAAGCCATCAGTGATATAACTAAAACTTTCTGGCACTGAAGAACAGAGGGATAAACAGTTATAGAGTGTGTCCTCGCAAATGACCTGAATTCAGTTCCCAGCACTCACGAGGGGCAGCTCACAAACTCCAGGAACCCCAGATCCAGATCCAGCTCCCTCTTCTGGCCTCTGCAGGTACTGACTCTTGAGTATACACACACACACACACACACACACACACAATCCACCATAACACCAAGCAACATTTACTAAATACCATGGTGGCTAGTGCTCCTGGAGTTAGCATTTCAGCTTGGAAATCTTTCTGCAGAACTTGAAAAGTACTTGTTGCCAGCTAGCACCAGTGCTGCTTTTGAAAAGCCTAGCTCTCTGTTCTCACCAGGAGCTGCTTTATTTCAACTTAGTTTGCTTCTATCCAGGAATTCCATCCTGCACCTCATACATTGGCTGGATACAGATATTTCTGTCCACTCCAGTGGACAGTTGATGGGCCCCTTCAACCTGGACATTCATGTCCTTCAGTGACAAAAAAGTTTTCTTTAATTATATCACTGGTGGCTTCTTCTTTCCTTTTCTGACTTCCTTCTGAAAGTCAGTCTTCAAATGTTTGTGTTCCTAAATTGATCCCTTTCCCTCCTCCTCCTCTCCCCCTCCTCTTCCTATCTCTCTCTCTTTGTTTTTTGTTTTTTTGGTTTTTCGAGACAGGGTTTCTCTGTAGCTTTGGAGGCTGTCCTGGAACTCACTCTTGCAGACCAGGCTGGTCTCGATCTCACAGAGATCCGCCTGCCTCTGCCTCCCGAGTGCTGGGATTAAAGGCGTGTGCCATCAATGCACAGCTCTCCTCCTCCTCTCTATCTCTGGTTTATTTCCGGGAAGGTCTCTTCAGCTTCCTCCTCTCTATCTCTGGTTTATTTCCGGGAAGGTCTCTTCAGCTTCCTCCTCTCTATCTCTGGTTTATTTCCGGGAAGGTCTCTTCAGCTTCTTCCTCTCTATCTCTGGTTTATTTCCGGGAAGATGTCTTCAGCTTCCTCCTCTTGCCCTTTTAGCAGGCTTTCAGTTCTGTAAGGAGAATTTAAGGTGTTTGGGGTTTGCTCCAGCTGTGCCTTGGAGTCCTTTCTTAAAGCAGCTGTTCTTGTTTTAGTGATGCACTGGATTCTCTGAAGATGCTACCGAGAGCTGTTGGGCAAGGGGAGAGACGGGAAGAGTGTGAACTCCTCCCAGCAGAGTCTTTCAAAATGCTTATTCCAACTCCTGTGGGTGCCTGGTTATTGCTCACAGCTAAAGGCAGGAGGACTAAAGAGCCCCCTGGAGCCTAGAGCCCACTGCTATCTGTGGGAGCGTGGCAGGGGGTCAGGCTGGCTGATTTCAGGACTGTTAAATTTCTTGGCTTTTCCCATCTGGATAGATTGAAGGAAGCTCTTCTGTTTCCTCCTCTGAGGCTATAGGCTTGGGGAGGGCTCTTCCTAAGAAGGCAGGGAGAGTGGCCTCCACACTTAGTATGAGAAAGTGGACTCCATGGCCTGCTCCTTGTGTAGTCCTGTATAATAGTCCTGATTCTTGAGAGCTTTACCTCAAGTTCCTGCCTGAGATGGGGACAGGCTATTTAGATCCGGGCTCCATAACTCTGAAAGAAGTTCCACACTCTTCTCCCTGTTCCCAGTCCATCTTCCCCCATCCCCCGTCCCTGGGCACTTGGATCAAGTGTGACGCCTGTGGCGGCTCTGCTCAATGGTCTTCCACAGATGGGCCTAGGTCTGTCGGCACTCATAAGCTCTCTGCTCCAGTTCTTATTGTGATTGGCATTTAAAATGTCCCTCTGCTGTTTCTTAATGGGCGTCTAAAGGGATAGAGGGTGAAATCCTGCATTCAGTCTGTGGTCCTGACCTGTGAGACACGCAAATATTTTGGAATCATTCCTTTGAGCAGGTCTACGCACCACCAGAGATCCATCCCATCTACGCTGGATTTCTCCAGGAACTAAGCTGAACTCCTCAGGGGGTCAACACTGTGCTCCACTGAGGCCCATGCTGGGTTCCTCTAGAGCAGTGGCTCTCAACCTGTGCACCATGATCCCTGGGGGGGGGGTCAAATGACCCTTTCACAGGGATTGCCTAAAACCATCAGAAAACACAGATATTTACATTAGGGTTCATAACAGTAGCAAAATGCAGTTATGAAGTAGCAATGAAAATAATTTTATGATCCCGGGGATGGTGGCGCACGCCTTTAATCCCAGCACTCAAGATGCAGGGGCAGGCGGATCTCTGTGAGTCTGAGGCCAGCCTTGTCTACAGAGCTAGTTCTAGGGCAGCCTGGGCTACACAAAGAAACCTTGTCTCAAAAAGAACAAAACAATAATAAAGTATGGTTGCAGTCACCACAGC